TTTTTTTTTGGTCTTTTTGAGACAGGGTCTCGCTGTGCAGTTCAGGCTGGCCTTGAGCTCACTTCGTAGCCCAGGATGGTCTCGAACTCACAGTGATTCTCCTGTCTCAGCCTCCTGAGTGCTGGGATTACAGGTGTGCACCACCATGCCCGGCTTTAAAATTAAGCTTACAATGAAAGAGTCTGCCGTGTTACCCCAGCTACAGTCTCATGCCCCATGTTCACTGCAACCTCTGACTGCATCAAGAGGCCACATCCCACGACGTAACTACCCCGCCTCTGCCTGTGTGAGTACATTCTATGGCAGCTACACACAGGCAGAACCGCCCTACAATACACTTCTCAGGCAGATCTCCATCATCAGTAACACAGGACTGTACTTCATCTTATTTGACTAGTTTTCTTTTTTCAAATTTTCCATCATACAAATGAAGCCACAGCTCTTTAATGACAGGGAACAAAACCTTTGCATTTTTAAGATGGTTTTAAATCCTCTAAAGTGTCTACTTGATGCTAAAAACAAATAGATTCTGAAAACAATTTGGTTCATTAATTTTGTTAAGATCAGTGTTTAATTTACCACATAAAACTACAGGTTTATGCTTACATCAGGTGTGACTATAGGACTAGAGATATACCTCAGCAGCACAAACGCCTGCCTGGCAAGTGCAAGGTCCTGAGTTCAATTCCCAGTACCAAAAAATAAAAAATGTCTCTAGATGTCACTATAATTTTACATAAAGTCTCTTTAAAATAGTGTTGTATGCGCATAAGTGTGTATATATATATATATATATACACACACATGAATATATGTGTATGTACACACACAGATGAACACAAACATGTATACGTGTATGTACAAATGTGTGTATGTACAAATACATGTGTGTGTACAAACACATACGTATGTACAAACACATGCACACACCTAACTAGTATTTTTCTGATCACTTAGGTTTTTGTTACTGAAATATTTTATTTGGTTCTTACCTGGTTATAATGGGATCTGCAGCATGATTTGGGCCCCACCTCCCCAAAAGTCCCCGGCCAACCAGTCCTGTCCGTCCTGCAGGATTTCTGGTGGGAAAAAATATACACAATACAAACATAAAATTAATTGAATATTCATCTTTTTAAACCTAGAAACCCAGTAATATATTCCCACAAATCCAGCAGCACTGAAATCAATTATCTCATTTTATTGTTCCTTAATTGTTCTTTTGCACATGTCTTAAATTTGATCCTCAAAGACGGTATCATTTCCTAAGTGGTTCTACAACATAAACGTTTGTTTCCAACTTCACCTACCCTCCTAAGTTCAGACTAGAGCCTTACCAGATTCTCGCCAGGCTTCATACCTAAGCTTCTCTCTCTACAAAAGTTTACTTTTCAGTGTACCCACACTTTCCTTCGCCCTCTCATCATCTCTTTCTACTCCACTCTCCCGACTCATCCCACTGAAGCAGCTTATGTCATTTTCTGAGTCCATTTCTCCTCACTGGGTTCTGCATTTCTATTTCCAGTACTATATGCTTTGAAGCACATAATGAGACAGTACTACTTAATATTTCATACATTTGGAGTACAGCAAAATCCAATTTTATAAAAATACCCACTTACATTTCTTCAGTACTGGGGACTGAACCCAGAGCCCGATGCATGCTACCACTCCACACTGAGCTGTACCCAGGGCAACCCACTTCTTAACTGAGCACCGTAATTCAGTGTTAAAGTCTGTCAGGTGAACACACCACACTCACATCTGAGTCAGTTTATTCCAGTCAATATTTAATGTTTCACTATCACTGTGTGCCAATAAAATGCCCTCACTTGCAATCTCATGTGTTTAATACTTTTTCTGTCTTTTCACTACGTGAAACTGAACAAATAACTTGCCATAATTCCCTGCTAGGCATCTCTTTTTATCCTATTCTTCTTTGTGACTGTATTAAAACTGAATTTTATTTTAATTTTGAGATATTTATGTACTGTCTCACATCACCAACCATGGATTATGTGATAACGATTAAGTGGCTAAATTTTATAAATCCTTAGGAAAACATACCACTACTGAGAGACTATGGTACCCTGTAGAGAACTTCAATCTTTAAAAACTGAATGAATTTGACACTGTTTTGCACCAGACCCAGAAATATTTCAGTAAGACTTACAAATATGGAGAAAGACAACTGGCCAGCTAGCAGTAGTTCCTTTCAAGTTCACATGAGGAGGGCCAGGGTGGCTAACAGCCATGCTTTATTCCCAGTAAATACACACCCTGAACACAAACCATCCAAACCAAGTATTAAAGGGAGAATGTTAGTTTTTATACATAGCTGTGGTAGTTGATTAACTGTGTCAACTGAACTAGCTCAGCATAGTTCTGGGTGTGGAAGACCCACCCTAGGGAGGACTGTCATCAGACTGCAATAAAAGGGAACCAAAGAAGAAAGGATTGCTCTGTCTTCAGAGGAGCTCCAGTCTTCGCTTTCACCTGGGACATCGTCTCCCGGCCTCCAGTGCACTCTTCGGCTTCCAGCAAAGACCCTTCAGTCTTGCGGTGCAGACCCTTCGGCCTCCTGACACAGACCTGCATAGGACACTACATGGTGCTGCAGGCCTTCAGCTGGATGCTTCGGATCCCCAGCGCACAGACAGACCTCGTGCACTCTTCCTCACCCAACTGTGGGCGGCCACTGTAACCAATCTGTAAATTCTTATAGATTTGTATATCTTGTATTATATCTATTTCCCTAGCAAACTCTGACTGATACAATCACCAAGCCTACAACTTACAAACTAGAAACTGACAAACAGACCTACAGATTATCCTAGACCTGAAAATGGAGAAGGTTGTTTGCAGAGAAACGAAGCCAACATATAGAAGAAAACAGAGATGAGGCAGAGACAGGGTCTTATAATCTCCCGTTCTCCCCTTTGCTAAACTTAGATGTACTTCTGCTTTGGGCTCTCTGACACAAACCTACAGCCTAAAAATAAACTGGACTTTTTGCTCAGGCAAGTTACAGCTGGTGTTTGTTATACTCTTAACTATAACAACGTGCCTTGGCTTTGCTGCCCATCATTTCAGAGAAATACAAACCTTCTCATACATTTACCCAGAAAAGAACCTACACAGTAAGTCAAATTCAACTTGGACCTCACAGGCCAAAATAAAACCTCCTATTCCATATAACTAATATGCATTAATAAAAAACAAAAGTGTGTAACTTTAGAAGACTCCGTAACTCAGAAAGGGAAGTAAGTTATGACCAAAGGAAAGAATTTAACAAAACTGAAAGACAAGGGTGGGTAAGAGGAGCACTACCATTCCCTTGCCCTAAAGAAACTAAGAACACAAAATGCTACTTTAATATTTTACATAGTGATAATCATGATTGCGAGCCTCACTTTATTTGGGACAAGTGAATTTTTACATTTCTTCTTTACTTTTATAATGTCTTAAGGAAAATGGATGATTTGACAGTTGTACAGAAAACCATTCGAAAAGTGCAAAAGGAATCTTGATGCTAAAATTAATGGCTCAACTTTATGTTTAGTCTTAAATGTTTGGATAAATTTTTTTTTTTTTTTTTTTTTTTTGGTCTTTTTGAGACATCGCTTCTCGACCTTTTGGCTAAGATCAAGTGTTGTCTTTTTGAGACAAAGTTTCACTATGCAGTTCAAGCTGGCCTCAAACTCACAGCAATCCTCCTGTCTCAGCCTACCAAGTGCTGGGATCATAGGCATGCACCACCATGTCTGACCTGGATAAAGTCTTACATTAGGGGATCATCCTGTTTAATAAATAACTATTGAAAATCATAATTTGCAATCTTTTCTCTGTTAATTTACTCACAATTATTTTTACCTTCAAGATGAAATTACAAAAAGATGCATCCAAATCCTGCCTCTACTTACTACTTATATGTAAACTGCTTACACTCTATAAAATAAAAACTATCCACCTACAGTTTTGTGAAGATTTAACTGGATTACATACATAAAAATTTTGTGCATTGCTGGCATATATGGTAGTATAATAAACGAAAACTATCTTCCCTATTTCTAAAGTCCCATTATTGTAAGACACTCCTCTCTCAGCACCCACCTGGGTCTTCCATTTTCAATTTCGTACAGGCCATTCTGGCTCTTTCTCTCCACATGCCCATCCTTCTCGTTAAACTTGGGAGAAAAGTTACTTTCACTGTAACAAAAGTACCAACACAAAATAAGAAACAATGATATTACCGGCAGCTTAACAACGGACGATAACTTGCTATTCATGATATACGCAATACCCCTGCAAGAGTAAACTTTTCAAAGGTTAGTTTTCATGTATAAATCCATGTTATGCCTTGAAAGCAGTTTCTAAGGGGACACAAAACCCTTTTTAACCAAAACAATTATTATTAGACTTACTAACCGCCTCTTGGAGGGATTACCAGCTGAAGAACTGAATCTTCTCCCACATGCTACAAAAACGTCTACATTGTCATCAGCAACAAAGAACCAACTGTGGGTACATAAGGGAATTACTGGTTCTCAGGTAGTTCCAAAGATAAAACTCTTTCTGAGCATCTTGATGTTCTGTCAAAGTAACTTTAATTTCTTCACATGTATACTGACTAATACTGTCAAAGTAAACCCACAGATACTGGTAGACTGAGCCCATAAACTGTACAATAACTACTATGTGGATTAAAAACAGACATACTATTGTGGAAGTGTTTGAGCCCTTGACCTGAATTATAGTTACATAGCTATATAATACATGAACGTAAAATTTTACTGAGCTGTACTTACAGACTTAAAAAAGATAGACTTTACTGCAATTATATACTGCCTCAACAAAAAATATTTTAAAGATGTAATTAAACTACTCCCCTCACTACTCTGATATCACAGGCACACTGTGCTGACCGTGGATGATGACTGTGTAGCACTGGAGCATTGCTGGGCAGCTTCAACGTAGTTTCCCTTTTGTTCCAGCTTCAATTCCAGTAAATGATAAACAAACACATGTGGTCTATCTTGGGAATAATGTCCCAGTTGAATACTACCAGCATTTTCTCAAGATTTCTGACCAATCCTGTCAATCCCTCTGACTCACTGTCTCATTCCCCTCAACACACACACACTTTGTCACTTGCCTATTTTTTACACACTGGTCTAATTTCTTATCATCCTATGCTTAGTAGTCTGGAAAAAAATTCTGAAATGTATTTCTTCTACTTCAAATACAAGTCTAGCCATGTTAGAAAAGAAAAAAAAAAAACACCAAAGATGTACTATTGACAATCCAAAAAAATTCATGAAAATGGATACCACTAGCTATTATTTCATAGCAAAAAGCTGTTCTAGCACTCAAAACAGATTCACCTATTACAAAGAACCTCATAAAAACCCCCAAAATAAATATGAACTCTCCTTTGGCAAAGATCCAAGCAAATGTGGAAACTGAGATAACAAAGTCAAACACAGATAAAAGTGATTTTTCAGGTGTCAATGATGATTTACAAATATGGTCATCACCTTCCCTGGAAGCCTTAAACCCAGCTAAGGTTCAATTCTTTGCTCACCTGATTTGAGGATCCGCCCATCTGGGTCCAGCCAAGACAGAGAGGGCAGTATACTCCACAGGGTTATAGTCTTGCCACTCAACGAGCCAGCCCACTTTCTCATTAGGAACCTGGCTTCGTTCAACTTTGGAACCTGGGTAAGGCGATGTCCGAGCCTTGTTGTGAGAATTCTCTTTGGCACCGTTAGAACTGGACATGATGTTAGAGTTACAGTGAAACCACTGGGATGAAAATGAGTTTCTGGAGAAAAAAAATATTTACAAAAAAAAAGAAGTATATTAACTTAAAAATCTAATTCAAAGGCCCTAAGAACATACTTTTCAATTTCACCAACTTTTAAAACTCAAAAAATTCAAATTTGTTGAATACTAGTAAATCAGTTCATCTGTGAGAGATTTTCAAACATGAAAACTTTTTAAATACACCTAAATTTCATTAAATTTAGCCTACTCACTGTATTTATTTTAGTTGACAAATAGGACATAACTTTATTTGTGTTATCTGTTGTAGAAGGGGAAATCTGTTATGAGAATGCAACCACACAAACAAGTGTAAAATAAACTTAAGGCAAGGTGAAGAATAACATTTTTTGAAAAACAATATACAGTCTACCATGGTAAAAATGTATGATAAAAACAGCACTAAGGAATAAGAGTGAAACATATTGTTGTGAAGTTTTTGTGTTGACTATAAACTAACATTATTTGAAGGTAGAATGTGAGAAGATATATGCATATATAAACTTTAGAACAAAATTTAAATTAAATAAGATGTATGTTATGCTTGATGCTATCACTGCTAATTGTACCACTGCAGTTAAGATGTCCCATCTATTATAATTGGTGTTCTCCTGTATGTAAAAATATTGGGAAGCTCTGGGGTAATAACTTCACCATACCCTACATAAAAAGACAGGACAGTGCCAAACAGAAACCAACACTCCACTCTCAATTAAATGGGAAGGTAGGATCTTGAGACAGACACAAACCAAGAATCTCCTATATAGAGAAGATATCCCTTAAGGACAGAATATTCCTTGAGAGGCACTGATACTAGTGATATAGCTACTTACTACCAAAACTCACAAGGATCATCACAGAAAAAAATTTTTTTCAAAACATTTTTAAAATAGAAAATGTCAAGATGAAGGAGCACAATGCAATCTCAGACCTCCAGCCCACCCAGAACAAATCTAGGAGACATCAGCACAGAAGAAATTGGAAGTCACACACTGAAATTTCTGAAATGACAGCCAAATGAAGTAAAAAACAATGCCATTAGGCCATAGAATACATTAGATCAGAAATAAACTCTCAGACAAAAAAAGAAATGACAACCATAATGAAAGAATTGTTCAGCATGTCTAAAAGAGACAGACTTAAAAAAAATAGAAGGGCATAGGAAAATGATGGAAACCTTGAATGAACAACATAGGAAAGAATTAGAATGCATGAAACAGATTCAAACAGATATCCAACAAATTAAAAATTCCACTGAAAGCTGGCAAAACCACTTAAGGAAACTGAAGACAGACTTTCAGACCTTGAAGACAGGATCGCAGCTAGGGATTACAAAAGGAAAGATCCCCTAAAGACAACAAGGAACCAGGAAATAATTCAACAGCTACAGGATGATGCAAAGAAAAATATAAGATTGACAAGTGTCCACAAAAAAAGCAGGAGTCAACACAAATTACATAAGAATATTTGCAGAAGTAATAGCAGAAAATTTCCCAAGCATGGGAAAAGACTCTGACATAGATAAGTGAGGCATACAGAACTCAAATAGGAAAAGAATCTGACATAAAAATAAGTGAGGCATTTAGAACTCAAACCAGTCATAACCAAATAAATCTACACCCAGACATACAATAATCAAGATCCCAGAAAATTCAGCACCAGAACAGAATATTAAAAGCTGCTAGAGAAGAGAAACGGATCACCTATAAAGGAAAGCCCATCAGAATAACAGCAGATTTCTCAACACAAACTCTCAAGTCAAGGAAAGCTTGGAATGAAGTATTTTAGGTCCTCAGAGAAAACAACTTCCAATCCAGACTGATGTACCCTGCAAATCCATCTTTCAAAATTAATAGAGAAATAAGACACAGTTGTTCCTCACTATATTGTGGTTCACTTATTCCAGTTCACTGTATTGTGGGTTAAAAAAAAAAATCTACAATAATTCATGATCTTCAAAAATAAAAAAATTCACCATCTTCATCATTGAAGTTGCAGTATACTTCACCAGTGAAGAATTTTACATGCTGTTAAAATTATGCAGGTTTAAGAGTGCAGCAAGTGTTTAAGAGCATATGAAGTGTTTATAAAAGTATGGGAAAGGTTAATAAGAGACTGGGAAATGTTTATAGGAGTGTAGGAAGGGTTTATAAAGCCTTAAAATATACATAAATAATAAAATAAATATAACAATGCTTCTTTGTGGATTTTCACCCATCACGGCAGTCTCTGGCAGTCTCTGGAATGTAACTCCCACAATAGGTGAGGGATCACTATACTTACATGACAAAAGAACTGAAGAAATTTATGACCACCAAACCAACCCTACAAAGAGTACTGAAAGATATGCTAGAAAGAGATAAAAATGATCACAATTTCAAGAAAAACAAGAGAAAGAAACCACCAAGCAGGGCAAACAATTAAACAGAGGGGAAAAGTAGGGAACTAACAGCAGGAAAATAACTTGACAAAGATAAGCCAATATGTATCAGTTATAACCATTGATATAAATGACCTCAATTCAATCAAAAGAAACAGACTAGCAGAGTGGATCAAGGAACAAAATTCAACAATATGCTGTATACAAGAAATACATTTAACTCAAAAGGATATTCACAGACTAAAAGTAGAAGGATAGAAACAATACATCATGCAACAGGAACTCAAAAAAAAAGCAGGGGTAGCTATTCTGTTTGCAGACAACGTGAACTTCAAACCATGAATGATCAATAGAGATAAAGAAGGTCACTACATACTTTAGGGGAAAACTGCAACAGGAAGAGATAAAAATCATAAATATGCATGCACCAATTACAGAAGCACCTAACCATATAAGACAAATATTAATAGACATTTAAAATTAAGTAAATAATAATATAATTGTAATTGGGGACTTTAATACCCCCTTGTCACAAAGAGATAAATCAACTAGACAAAAAATCAGCAAAGAAATAACAGAACTGAACCCAATTTGTAGACAAATGGATTTAGTAGACCATTGTAGAGTGCTCCACCCAACATCAGAATACACATTCTTCTCAGCTGCACATGGGATGTTCTCTGAAATAGACCATATACTAGCTGACAGAACACGTAAAGGAACTGAACTTATCCCACGGATATTATCTGACCATAATGCAATGAAATTGGAAATTACTGACAAAAGAAACTGCAAAAACTCCATAAACACGTGGAAATTAAATAACACTGTGCTGAACAACCAATGGGTCACAGATGAAATCAAGACAGAAATTAAACAATATCTACAATCAAACAAAAATGCAAATACAACTTAATGGAACCTGTGGGACATGATGAAAGCAGTCCTCAGAAGGAAATTTAGAGTGGTGATTTCTCACATCAGGAAAACAGAACAAGCACAAATAACCTACAGTCATCTCTCCCTATATCATGATTCACTTACTGTGGCTTCACTGTATTGCAGGTTTTTTAAAAAAAATATATCCAATTCTGTATCACAGAGTTTTTGCTATATCGCAGGATTTTGAGGTACACAGGTATTTATATAATATTTATGATTTTAATTACTTTTGCCTAAAACATATAAAACAATATAAAAATGTTAATTCACACATATTAAAATATTAAATAAAAATAAAATACAATATTATTTCATCAGCCAATGAATACCATACTGTACACAACAGAAATGCAGTACACCATTACCGCATTGTGCAAGTTTGCCAACATGAGACTGTACATGGCACACTATTAGCTGATGGAATGGAAGGCAATCAACCACAGCACTATGTTCTGTATCCTGGGCAGTAACTGGCTCAGTGACTGTAGCATCTGTTTGCTCTACCACACTGTGCCCATACATTCAGCATCTCTCCTTGTGTTTAAGAACATATGAAGTGTTTATAAGAGTGTGGAAAAGCTTAATAAGAGAGTGGGAAAGGTTTATAGGAGTGTGAAAAGGGTTTATAAAGCCTTAATATGTATGTATGTGTGTGTATATATATATATATATATATATATATATAATAAAATAAACATAACACTGCCACTTCGCAAATTTTCACCTATCACAGTGGTCTCTAGAATGTAACTCCCACGATAGGTGAGGGATCACTGTGATGCTGCACCTCAAGCTTCTAGAAAAAAAAAGAGCAAGTCAAGTACAAAGCCCAAAGAATAGGGGAAATTATAAAGATCAGAGCAGAAATTAATGCAACTGAGACTAAGAAAACAATACAAAGAATTAATGAACGGAAGATTTGGTTCTCTGAAAGATTAAAATTGATAAACCACTAGCCAATCTTATCAAAAAAAGGAAAGAAAAAACTCAAATTCATGCAATAAGGAATAAAAAGGGTGAAATCACTACAAATCCTGTAGTAATTCAGAAGATCATCAATACCTACTTTGAAAATCTTTACTCATAGAAGAGGGAAAACACAGAAGAAATGGACAGATTTTGAGAAACATATGAATTATCAAAGCTGAATTACAAAGATATAAAAATGCTGAATAACCCAGTACCAGTCAATGACATAAAAATGTAATTAAAAACTTACCAACTAAGAAAAGCCCAGGTCCTGAGGGATTCATAATTGAATTCTACAAGAAATTTAGAGATTTAATGCCAATACTCCTGAAATTCTTTAATGAAATTGAAAGGGAAGCAATTATCCTTATCTCATTCCTGGAGGCAAGCATTACCCTGACACCAAAACCAAAGAAAGACCCAACCAAAAAGGAAAACTACAGGCCAATCTCCCAAATGAACATAGATGCAAAAATCCTCAACAAGATACTAGCGAACAAAACACAGCAAATTATCAAGAAGATTATACACCACGACCAAGTGGGATTCATCACAGGGATGCAGGATGGTTCAATATACACAAATCAATCAATGTAATACACCGTATCAACAGAGCCAAAGATAAAAATTGCATGATCATACCAATAGACGCAGAAAAAGCTTTTGCTAAAGTCCAACTCTCGTTCATAAAAAAACCCTACAGAAAATCT